ATATTAAAAAATAAAAAAATTTCACAGCTGCAACTACAGTTCAACATTGTAAAACTAAGCCTTAATTGGTCATTTTGTCTATCAACCATTATTTAGTTTAATAGACGAAATTTCATGTAAAAGCTTGTGTGACACCACGTAAGCTTTTAAGTTAAGATGACGACCAATTTAGTTAAGATTTCATTTTGTTGACTGTAGAGGATAAAGGAAAATGGAAAATGATTTTGAAATAATAATAATTATTATTTTTTTATATAACCTTACGTTTTATTTAAATTATTGATTCTTTTTATTTATTTGAAATTTATAATATTAAATGCATCAATTCATTTAATTATATGTAAAAATTATATAAAAAAATGATATAACCAACTACTTAAATAATTTAGTGATCATTTCCTTCCACTGAAAATAAGGATCCTGAGTTCGAGCCGCATATTATACAGGTGGGGTGGGATAAGAAATACAGGATAATAATATTTTATTGTGCAACCTAAATAAAAAAAAAAAGTGATATAAAAAATTGTCCCTGTAGGATTGCTCAAGGAAAATATAGACTAAACCAGTACAAACCCCATGGCTAAATTGATCCCCTGGAGTTACTATAAAAAAAAAGATCCCACAGTGTTGATTTTATGAAAGCTGGGTGACCACCCTTGACATTTTCCCTTGTGTTTTTTGTTGGGACATTGGACGGTTTTTCTCGCCGGGCTTGCGCGGCTTTTAAGTTTTTGAATCCACATCCTCTCCGTATCCACCCTTTTTTCCTATTTTTATTCGAATTCCTCTCCATGGATGAAGCAGTAAGTCCGAGGCAGAGAGCGACAATGATAAACCGTCTTCAGTCTCCGACCACTGCCTTTTTTTTGCGCTCCAACGATGACAAACTCGAACGCGCACAGGCACGCGCAGCCGCACGCGCCGCTGCAATCCGCCCAACAGCCCCCGTAACCAATCCTCCTTCACCGCCTTCCGATTATTGTCTCAGCAAACAACAAATCATCGACTTGTTCCAGAACTGCATTAAACTTGCCAGCGAAAATGTCAGTTTCCTTTGCCCTTCTACGGGAATTTTAAATAAATGCTGTATCTGTGCTTGGAAATTCAGTTGATTATTACTATTCTTGGATACATTTTTTAGAAAATAAACCAGAAGAATACTTGGGAGTTGAAGCTTATTGATCATCTTAGTGATATCATCAAAGTTGATGCTGCAGAAGCTGATTCACAGACTAATTTCCAAAGGGTATGAACAACTTCTATGAAATAATTATATACAATGACTATACCAAATGCTTATGTCTTAGTGTTTTAAGTGCTTATGGGAGAGTTTGATGGATAGGCAAGTTGCACGCTGGAAGCCGGCGTGAAAATTTACTCTGTCAGAGTGGATGCTGTGCATGCTGAGGCCTATAAGGTCCTAAGTGGGATCAATTGAATAGGGCAAGAAGATGTACATGGTATGATAATGTTGAGAATAAAAAGGTTTTTTCTTAATAATCGCTTTGTGAGTTGTGACATTTACTGAAGTCTGTTTGGTTAGAGAGAGAATTGTTTCTATACCTTGTAAATTTTGGTATAATTTTCTTGTAGTGCTCTATTGCACATAGGGCTTTTGCCTTTGCTCAGTTCCTAACATAGTGGTTTGGTGACACAGATGCACTCAAGAGGGTGGTAACGTAAATAACAGTGTGGAGGGCTATCATACTAAGAGAGAATCTGAGAAGAAGGTTGATTGTTTTCTAGTTTACGCTGCCTTGGTGCATTTAAGTCTGACTAACATGAGTGATTTTTGCAGATCTCACCACTGTCAACATTGGAGTGCTCGTTTGAAGCTCTTAATGCAAAGAAGTTTGAGGGTTGGTGCATATCCTAAATATCTCATCTGGACTTTTTCTTGTTTGATTATTTGATTTCGTAATTGTTTTTATGGTTTCCTAGTTGCATTTCTAGCGGATCCTTTATGTCAGCAAACATCTGCACAATTTGATGAAGGTGGGGCAAAAGGCCTTCTATTGAATAATCTGGGAGTATATCGAGGTTGTAGGGTACTCTTTGATTCTTTTGAAGTGCCTGGGAAGTGCAAATCGTGTTCAGTTCAAAATAACTCCTTGGACATGATTGATATCTCATTTGCAGAAGGTGTGCCATGTACACACACATTTTCCTCCAAGAATCCATTCAAGAAAGCTGACTTCACATCAAACTGAAAAACAGACCACTTATGTTGAGCAACTAAAGTTAAAACAGTTCGAATAGTATCAAACCTGGCAACCGGTGCAAAAGTTTCGTCAAAATCCACACCTTATTGCTGCATGTAACCTCTAGCAACCAACTAAGCCTTGTGTTTATGAACTGACCCATCAGAATTGTACTTAGTCTTGTATACTCACTTTAGACTTACAACTTTGTTGTCTTTAGGCAAGTCCACAAGCTCCCATGTTTGATTTCTTTCCAAAGCCTCTATTTCCTCATTTGTAGTTTTGCACCATTTTCTATTCTGCATTGCTTCCTCAAAACAGCTTGGCTCCTCGGCATATGCCATTTGACACCTTTGAGTTTGTTCATAGATTTCCACCAAGGATCTTACTCACCTTGACTTCCTTAGAGCTGGAGGTGTCTCAAGTGAGGATCGAAACGATCTGCTGCCACTGTTAGGTGTAGAAGAGCTTTGACCTTCACCCATTTCACCTTTTGTCATGACTGGATCAGCCTCCAAAATGTCATCAACCAACACAGAACCTAGACTCTTCTTGTCATTCCAGTTCCATGAATTTTTCTCATCAAAAATCACATCACAACTGATTAGTAACTTTTTGGCGATAGGATCATAAAATTTGTAACCTTTAGTTTCATCACTATAACCAAGAAAAATGTACTTCACACTATTTTCTTCAAATTTTGTCCTTTTTTGAGATGGAACATGGACATAAGCTAGACACCCGAAAATTTTAAAGTAAGTTACCTTGGGCTTCCAGCCATACCAAGCTTCGAAAGGAGTTTGATGATGCAAAGCTGTTGTGGGACTGCGATTTTGAATATAAGCTACGGTGTGAATTGCTTCTGCCCAGAAACTGTTTGGAATACCTTTTGCTTTCAGCATGCTTTTTGCTATCTCCACAAGACTTCTATTTTTCCTTTTAGCTACCCCATTCTGTTGAGGGTTATAGCTTGCTGTCAACTGCCTTTTGATGCCGAAATCCTCACAAAATTTGTTAAATTCAGCTGAAACAAATTCTCCACTTGATCTGTCCGTAAAACTTTGACTGAACATCCACTTTTCTTTTCAATAAGAGCTTTGAATTTTTAAAGATTGGGAAGGCATCTGACTTTTCTTTGGCAAAGTAAACCCATGTCAGTCTACTAAAATAATCAACAAAGATAATAAAATACATGCTTTTGTTGAGAGACAGAGTACTCATTGGCCCACAAACATCTGCATGTATCAACTCAGTAGGTTTCAAAGCTCTTCTCGCCTTTCCTTTGGGAAAAGCATCCCAATGATGTTTGCCATAGACACAGCTTTCACACACACCATCAACTTGCTCAATGATAGGCAAACCAAGCACTAAATTATATTTTGACAAATGTGCCAACCCCTGGAAATTCAAATGCCCGTATTTATGATGCCACAACCAGTTTTCATCATGCAAAGTGATATTCATTGCAAACTCACAGTCAAGAGTTAAAGGAAAACACTTGTTTTTTGCCATTGGAACTTTAATTAAAAGCTCCTTTTTAGTTCCATCTTTGTAAACATAGCAAGCCATATTTTCAAAAACAAGTGAATATCCATCCATCATAAATTGACCCACACTTAGCAAATTAGAATCCAAATGAGGTACGAACATGACATCATCTATACAATTCTTGCCATATTCATCCAATTCAACCATACCTTTTCCTTGTGCTTCTCGTATGGTACCATCACTCATGGTTATTTTCTTGCTCACTGACTTGTCCAGGTTAATGAAGAGATTAATGTTTCCTGTCATGTGATTGTTGCAGCCACTGTCCACAGACCAAACATCTGGAACACTTTCTTTAGCAGTGTAGTAAGCAAGAAATAAGCTTTCAATTTCATCATCCTTTTCTTGTGCAAATTTGGCTTGCTTATCTTTAATTCTACAATCTCTAGCAATATGGCCATACCTCTTACAAACAAAGCACTGAATTGAACTCTGGTTGTCACTTCTTTCATTGGCTCTCCATTGATGGCTAATGTTGCCAAATCGACCTCAACGACCTTTTCTTCCACCTCAGACTGCACCTTGTCCTCTATTGAATCCACCTCTGTTACTAGACTCTGAAAAGCTCCCTCCATATTTGTTTTTGGATAGCTGTAGCTTGTTGTAGAAAGCATTCTCCACAGCATCCTCGTACCTCTTCATCCTGTCTTCATGAGAAAAAAGAGAACCAAACAGTTCATCTGTTGTTAACACAGCTAAATCCTTTGACTCTTCTATGGCAGCCACAATATGGTCATATTTCTTAGGCAGGCTCTTAAGAATTTTTTCAACCACCTTTTGCTCGAGCACATCATCACCATATTTTCTCATTTGATTGACAGTTTCTGTCATATGGGTAAAGAAATCAGACAAGTTCTCACATTCTTTCATGACCATACCTTCATACCTTCTACGAATTGTCTGTAACTTCACTGTAAGCACCTTGGCATTGCCTTGGTACCCTCTTTGCAAGGCATCCCAAGCATCTTTTGACTTTGTTGCTACTGAGATGCATGGAAAGATAGCATCATCCACCCCCTACTGGATGAAAAACAACACCTTAGCATCCTTCTTCTTTGTATCCTTGAGTGCCTTTGCTGAAAGTGTAGCTTCTATGTAACCCCTCTCCACCAAGTCTCATAAGTCTTGGGACATAAACAAAGTCTTCCTTTTAGTACTCCAAATTTCATATCCACTTCCCTTAAAGAGTGGAATGGTTGGCTTCGAAACACTTCCTAAATTGTTGTTTATGGCCATTTCTTTTGAAGGCAATTGAAGGAGGAAAGGCAATTGAAAAAGGAATCAAGCTTTGATACCAGATGGTAAAAAATAGGGGTTAAAGTAAATAAAATTTCTATGAAGCAAATAATCAAACACTTGGTGTGCAATAGAAATGATGAACTAAATTGAAGCTATATATTCAACTAATTTGTGCCCATTTAAATAGAAAAACATAGAGCAACAGATTGCACAATACAAGGACTCAATGACTCCACGATCTGCAAAAGGAAACTAATCTTATCTCTAAAAACAAGGAACCATACTCCACTATGTAAAGACTAAATAACAAACTTGGACTCTGTCAAATAATAAACTAATCTTGCAAATTATCTTGTAGACATGTAAACCAGAAATTGACACCTAAGCAAAAAACCCATTTCAGCATTATATTGTAACAAATTCACCAAAAGAAAAAAAAATGAAGAAGCAAGATAAAATTTTTAAACTTGGGAATTTGCCTAGAAGGCTTATTCAGCATGTTACTGTGGATGGTGCGGGTATACATATACGCTTCCATTTGGTCCTTTGTTAAAGGTATATGACGATCATATTGTTAGAGATGCACGGGATTTCCTTCACAGGCGAAGCTGGCTTGTATGGTCAGTGGCAGCTTCTGGAGATGGCCTCCTGTCAGGTGTCCTCAGTTTGTGCAAATCTTTTTTATCTATATCCCAACGAGGGTGTGAAAGAATTAGTGATATGGGTGCGTACAGCTTCTACTACCTTCAAAACATCATGATGAACTTGGCACTGGCTGTGAGTGGAGCATGAAAGGAAATTCTGGCACAAGTTAATTTGGTTCTCACAAGCTATACCTAAGCATAGTTTTATATGTTGGCTAGCTATACTTAAGAGGCCGACCATAAGGGCTAAGCTATGGCTGGCGTTCCATTTACTAATTCCTGTAAATGCTTAATAGATTTAAAATGTTTTGAAAGAGGGCATTTCAGTTTTCAGGGGTGGATTAACCCTTTTCAGCAACCCAA